CCACAATTTATCCTGCCACAAGTTAAGGGCAACATTTTGATATCTTTTTATAGCATTTCTTATTTAATTTTGATCAAAAAATTTGTAAAAACTTTAGTTCGTGTGAAAGTTGACATTGAAAGGGTAAATTAGGAAATATTATGAAGTCATCATCTGATAGATTGCAGAGTAAAACCTTTTTATTTCACAACCAACTACAAGCATCAAAATGACACAAATGATTTTTATGAAACTAGGATTTTGAATAATATCCAAATTAGACATGGGGTCTAAAGCGCATTGATGAATGCAGATTAAGAGTACAACCGCTTTTAGTTTTCAAAAATAGCAGTAATATTACCCTCCTTAGCAATATTTTTGTTTCAAAATAAACTTTCATTGCACTTTGCAAGTAATTGTTGTTAGGCCAGACTTTTATTATCCCTTGTTTCGCGAACCCGTCAAATGAACAGGAGCCGAAAATAAAATAAAAATAAAATTTTATTTCAGCGTAATTTCTCGCGCCCATCGCAAAAAATTGCTAAAAAAACTTATTTTTATCTCCTTTTTTTCCGCCTGTCGCATACAAACCCAAGTTGCATTTCGTGGGGAGTATCATGATCAAAGTATCGAAGTCTCACGCAGATGAGAAACAAGGTTATACATAGAATAAAATTGTATTTCATTTTTTTTCTCCGATCAATGATCTCACTTACAATTCTTTGAGAATCGCACAAATATAATGGGAAAAAAAGAATTAAAGCGAACTAAATGCGGCCGTAATTTATAGTTGTGTATATTCTAAACTGTATTCGAAATAATATTGCAGTGGTTTAATTTTGTTTTAATTATAATTGTAGCTTGGATAGGCATTTGAAGTGCTTGCCATGGAGGCCATTCATGGAGGGGAATAATTAACGAACGAACATATTTAACATCCGGGTACTTTTCAAAGCTATGACATTTTAGTATCTGATCGCATTCGTATACGCCATTGTACATAGCCGTTCATGCTGCCAAGCATTGTGTACTATTAGTATAAACTCAACTTTTATATGCACAATGTGCTTTTTAAAACTTGGGTTAGAGCCTTATGCGTTTGAACCACAGTATTCTCAGAGTGAAAGCCCAATTGCGTTAAAGTACCGTACTTCCCCGATCGTAAGCCCCTCCCGAGTATGAAGCCCATCCCTATGTTTTTACTTGGTATTTATCGAGTTGAGGGCATTCACGATTATAAGCCCAGAGTGTTTTTACTGGGCGTCGACGATATTCTTTAAAATATGCGTGTAAAAGGTGTGTTTCATTTCATAATAATCGTGATTGGCATGTTAGTTTGGTTCATGCTTTTAGTTTTATGAGAAAACTCGCATTAATTTCAAGTTCAGAGTGCATGGCAAACGTACACAACGTGATTCGCATCGTTTCTATTCTGTCATTTACTCAGGATGAACATCGATGTTGCAATTCTGGAGTAATCCATATTTCTTTGAGTAGTAGCCTTCGAAAAGCGATTAGGTTTTCTCCACATACTATACGAGCACACACAGACTGATTCGTGAGTGTAGTTCTGTAAAATCACGGCTTCTTTGTCCTTTGCAACTCAAAAGTTGGTCATGTGATAAAAAGGTTATCACCTGATACGACTTATTCGTAAAACCGACTGATACTAGTAGTGTCATAGGTTGTATTACTAGTATCTAGTACCGACATTCAGTTATTGGATAATACTAGTCCATGAAGTAACTCGTATTAACCTGCTTTGTAAAGAACAAGTGATAACCTCATTACCACCAGTGTAAAGAAATACTGGCATTGCTTTTTTCCTCGTTACACCATAAGAGATATGTTGTTGAACTAAAAATCATTTTCGAATAACATAATAATGATGAAACTTTAAGCATGTACAACTAAAAAAAATGTAGGTAGCCACACCAACTCAATATTTATTAAGTAGTGCTGATATTGTTTTTGTTTGTTTGCTTGTTTATTTGAAGTTGAAAAACTAATATTTATCACGGATTTAAAAACTGCATGCCCGTAAAATCAGAGGACCGGCTACTTTCAACGACTGGGCAGAAATTGTGGCTGCCATAACAGTTAAAATAAACCAGATAATAAAACATATTCCTAACAATATGCTGGAAGAAGCAGCTTACGATTAAACTTGGCTTCTGTTCATTTTCCGCCATTTTGTAACAGCTGCTCACCCGAACCTCAATCACACACATTTCCGACGCTCACGTGTAGTAGCATAAAACCGATCATATTTTACAATATGTCGAATGCAAGAAATTGCAAAAATATTGCTGATCATACCTGTTGGCAGGCTCCTAAAACACGTTACAGCGCCCCAAAACGGGAGGGAAATGCAGATGAGAACTGGCTGCACGTATCGTAACAAGTCGAAGAAACGCCGGCCGGTTTCTTATCGACCTCAGCGAGCAAATCGATATTCACCGGGGGTGGTACACCTATGAATTATCGCCGTACAAATTACAATAATTAGTTGCGTTGCAACAAATATAACAGTCCATGGAAAGTAAAACCTAGCGAAATCGGCTTTTAATTTCAATTTGCGTTATACTACAGTTTTATTTTAAAATTATATTTTTTTTCTAAACAATTTCTCAGTTTATTGTTAGGAAATAATATCGTAATTTATTTATCAACCTTGCGTCCCCTAATAAAGGACTACGTGGGAAAAGTCACATGACCATCTCACAACCAATTATAAACCCTCACGTTTTAGGTCAAGGGTTATCCTTCCATTGATCACCCGGGAACCAGCGTACAACATGGCAGGCTCACTTATCAATTTGTCTAAAGCCTTAACCGGCGTTTCACAATTAAACGTTGCAAGAGTTACTGCATTGGCAACTCACAATGCTGTCCAGAAAAGGAACTGTAAGTACAGCGTTTTATAGTTTAGAAACTGTGATTTTACTTGTTATTTTCGGATTGACAACGACAGCAACTTTTAAAAAATTCAATCTTATTTTTCCTGCACACGAACGCGGTACAAAGAAATGCGAACAGTCTACTCCTTGGTAATGCGTGCCTGTACCTAAACTATTTTTAGTTCCTCGTATGTTTGCTCGCATAAATTGAACTATGGTATTTTCTTCTAACAGAGAACGAGTAGATCGACCTTTCAGAGTTCACACACACTGGAACTATTATCACGCTGACGATATTGTAACTGCTTAGACATGGTGTTCTTATTTCATTATTTTCCTTAAGTTCATTTTGTCATATAAATCTCGCAATTAAATCGTACGCACCCACATTTGCAATCCTACTTGCAAGAAAGTTGCCTTTCACCGAATTAGGGATGCCACTTGCTACACATATGTTGGCACAACGTGATTTCGCAATATAGGAAATGACCTCAATTCTCTCCCACCAATACAGTTTCCCGCGGCCTGCTGACTTGCACACACCAACAGAAGCAGCTGTCAAGCCAAGGTCAATAGAGTGAACTCGTGGCTTGAGTTTTGATTCTTGCGCCAAATGACATTTATAACGCTTGACATTTAACTTCAATAAACAAATAATATAGATAGAATGTTATATGTTGGGATAACTATGTAGTTTTGGGACCACAGCTGTTGCCATATGAACAAAACAAGACTGAATTTTGAACAGTTAAATTCACATGATTTGGTAATCTGATTATATTACAATTAATTGAGTGTATTGAACAGTGATGTTTTGTTTATTAAGTTCAGTGAGCTGCTTACAAAATGGATTTACTCTAATCGCATTAACACTGTGCACAATGGAGCAGTTAATCGTTCCATTTAGTTACATCACCTAACTTATTCAATGTGCAGTGAATTCAGTTTCCATAGTTACCAAATGTAGGTGTTCTGGATATGAATAATCAAATTTATCAATGTGATGACAATGTAGACAGTATTATTCTCCAGGGTAGATAAATGGTCCTTGTCTTAAACATTTA